AACGTGCAAACGGATAAAAATCTACCCCCGCGATTGTCACCAAATCCTTTTGATTTTGTATAAACATGTTTTTTTTTTTTTTTTTAATATTGTACCAATACCTATATAATACCAGTATAATAATAATAATAATAATAATAATAATAATAAAAAAATAATATCCAGTAGCTATATAGGTGGAGTATATCATAATACTACCTGTATGTATTCACATGACGTATATTATAAAGCACTTGTGTGTGCCACACACGAAATGTTTGCATTAATTATTTTTTACCATCGTATTGTATAATAGTATGAACCGTAAGAATATGACAACAAGGCATATAATCCGAGAGCAGTCTAAAAAAAAAAATGTCTATTTAAAAACAATCGCTTCGTAACTACTACCCGCAGGACTTCAATCGCGCATAATATAATCTAAATTTGTGGGATTGAAACAATAGGTAATAGTCGCTGCGATTTTGTTGCGTAACCTAATTTGTGTATATTTTAACGTCAACCGTTTTAATGTCGTACACATTTTTTATAGCAAAGTCGATTAAATCGCCCAATGAAGCATGTTTTGTATTCTGTTAACGCCAACCCGCATGTGCATAACACACGTTTTTTCCACCGATTTATTCGGCTCGTAAATCATTATTACTATTGTATTATATTATAGGAATAAATTGCACGAAATACGTATTCGCTACAACAACTTTATTTAATGATTAAACTGAAGTGCAAAAAACGAATTACGATTTTGAAATAACGATGTGAAAAGGCCAAAATAATTATTAATTTAATTAAATAATTAATGTTTATTTTAGGGTAATATTTTAAGATACAGTTTTAAATGCCCACCATCATTTAACTAATAATACCCATCATTGCCAATTATTATTGCACAATATTATTGCTAAAATCAGAGCTTTGATGTAAATTTTAAAACATTCATTATTAATAAATAATATTTATAAGTTTATAACAGCAATTGGTATTTGTAACGGTACCTACTTAGTATTTATTTACAAAACTATATTAAGTGCATTTTCTTTTTTCAAATATACTGGGACTCTGGAAAAAAAGCGATGAAAGAATGCTATCATAATATTGACCTACATCAACTACACAATATTTAAATTTATTAATGTAATGAATGCCAACGAGTTATTAGAAAAATATAATAATATTCACACAATATGTGTAAATACTAAATAGTAGTAAATGATTTGAAAAATGTGTCATTATCACACATTTTCTGAGTGTCAGCCCTTTAAATTAGGGGACAGTAATAAATATTTTTAAAAAGCTTTATTAATTTATTTTCATAAACACCCCCCCTTATAAATTATGTTGCAATAAGAAATCTAAGACTTTAATATGAAGACAAAAATAGATCAAAATAACTTGATACTAATATACCACCATTTGTTAGTCATTACAGAAAGAAATATCCTGACATTATAGGTACCTACATACTATACTATAAATTAACTTTTATCATTAACATTTAATAACTCGTTTCATATGATACATTTTAAATATTTCAGTAATTGGTTATTACAATTTAAATTAACTATTTGAATTTTATGTAATCTCAAGTGTCTAAATTATTAAAACTTTTAATGAGTTATTACAAATATACAAACATTTCATAAATATTTTAGTTTATTTAGTTTATGGCGGATGAGCACCAATAAAATAAAAAATAAACAGTATCGGATTATTTTGTCTTTAAAATAAACTTAAATGTTATAATATTGCATTATGCGATTAAATGAAACTAGTTCGGTAAGTAAGCATTGGACATTGATTAACCCAAATAATGTCAACATTTTGTCAGCTATTTAAAATAGTTTTCAATTTTTTAAATCATTTCATGGGTATTCGTAATATTTAAATTATAGTGTTAGTGAATTTGCTGAGATTTTTTTTGGTCCCAAAATAGTTTTTTTAATTAAAAATTATGCATTTAAATAATAATTGTTATTACAGAATCATGTTTCACATTGATTATAATTTCCAACACCTATATATATAAAATAATTAAAATAATATTCCTAAACCACGTTTTTTTGTGTCTTTATATTCATATTATAATCACATGCTCAGAATCTAAAATAAATGTTAATGTAAATATTGGAACTATGATCAAATTGAAAACGAAGGGGAAATTTAAATATTGTCTTTATCAGAAACGTGCGAAACATAGCTAAATAAGTTCCATACTCTACAAGGTTTAATATAAGCAATATAGCATTATATAAAATTAGAATACATTTTAAAATTCGTTCACCTTTTCAACAATTGTTTGTACTTTTGTAGGTTGCCATTTTTTCTCAATGCATTGAGTAGATAAAATGTGTTTTTGTGATTGAGTTAAATTTAGTTATTACATATTTATTACAAGATTAATCATCAATTAATCGATAAAACACTTGTACTAACAAACTTAAATACTGCAATAACTTTCTATATTCTGCAGAAAAAAAACAAATTAATGATGGTCATTAATTTTTTATTATAGAATTATTATAATAATTTATTATTATTATTATTATTATTATTATTTATTATTATATTAATATATTAAGTATTATAATTAATATAATTATTATTACACTATACATCTAAACCAGTCCCGACGAGTCCTCATCTTAATGATGATTGTTATTGTACCAACCGATTTGATAAAATGTATATTTTATTTTAGAGTTGAATAATTTTGGATAAACGCATTACACAAATGAATACGCCTGACTATGGTTTTGGATACCGATAATTTTTTATGTCCCACCCTAGATTTCAAAATAAACCAGGATATTCTCTGAAAACTTTAGAAATTGAGATGAATGGGGAGGCTCTATGTTACAACCCTTTTGATTTTTAAACCAAACCAAACTTGACTTGGGGTACCGATTAAAAAAAACAAAAAAAATTGATATATTTGATGTTAGATTTAAAAATAAGACCAAGGAAATCAAAACTCATACTAAATTTGCCAAAGAACGATATAAAATAAAAAAGATTTTATTTAGGGTTGGGTTATTTAGTTTATTTCTTTTTTGTATTTGTTAATAATTTTATCGACATAGTATTTTTTTTAAAGCTATATATTTTTTAAGTCTTTGTAAATCTGAGTAAACACTTTATAATATAATCATATCACATCTATATTGATTATTACAATGCTAAAATTATTCGAAGAAATTATATATGTATATTGATAATTATATTATTATTGTTGGATATTACAAGATATAAACATATCTATTAGTTATAACTAATCATCAGGTGAAGATGACATAGCGGGGTCAAAGTAGTTACATAAACCTGTCCTAGATGATATTTTCTACAGTCCCTAGCGACCTATGTGGGTTGCCAAAGCTTATCCTATCGGGTTGAGAAGAAAACTGTGACACAGCCATTTAGGTCGGTTAGGACCCAGCAAGAGGTGTGTAATCTTCATATTTCTTGAATAGGACTTTAATGCTGAAGGTTCATTGGTTTGGCATTCATATGGTAGGTGGTATTTTTTGGTTCTAGCATCTACCATCCCGTGGGTGGCGGTGTAGCATGGACGTCGATATTATGTGATACAGGTATTAAATCCTTATTAGTTTAACTACTAAAACAGCCATTATGTAGGGTATCGTTCAACATCGATGGTTCTTTTGGATGAAATTCCACTTGATATCATCTGCAGTAAATCCTCAATGACGGTTCATCGAAAAAGGCGTTGAACATAAGTACGAACGATGGGGCCCAAAGTTTTAGTCTTAAGCCACGAGAAGGGCTGATTTAAGGAAATATGTTTGGACGTCTCCATCGCCTGCTACCTGGAATTACATTATCACTGAATTCATTCATTCAACTAACTCAATATATTCAAGAGTATAGTAACTATACTATAGTTGGTCTTGATGACTCGAATGTTGATCATTGTGTAATGAGAGTTTTTGTTGAAGAATGGATTTGCAGCAGTGATGGCCCATTTGTAGTTTGTACCAGTGAGAGCTGAGCAACTCATAAATTCATAGACGACTTGTTTCTTGTGTTTCTCAATCATTTCCTAGTTAAATGCACAAGTATACAATTATAATCGCATTTTCGTGTCAAATTTTATGTGCTTATTGGTGAGTTATTGGTTTTCGATTTTTAATAACCATATCGTTTACCAGACATTATCATAATATTTATGTGGAGCAAAGTGATGCCTTTCCACTCTGATTGTTCTAGGAAAATATTGAAGTTCATAGGTGGCATAAAATATGGCCTACAGTCCCAATTTTTTATTAATTGGAGTTCATTAATGAAATCCGGCTATTTAATTACAATGATGTGTTCAACATCAAAAAGCAAGAAGTGAAACATATTTTCAAACCATTTTATGTTAGTTTTTTTTTCCAAACATCTTTTTAATGTTCTTAAGTTTTTGTTATTATTTTAGTAACTTACATTTCCATCCATCATAGTATTATAACATTATTATACTGATGAAATATTGTATGGTATCTATAAATTGTCTGGTAAAAATTAAAATAGTCTTATCAGGTTAATTTATTCGTAGGTAATTTAAAACTTTTAATTATTTTTGTTACTCTTTATTTCTTATTTTTAATAAATTCTTGATCAAAGCCCTTTTTCCTTATATCCGGAAAATTAGTGCAGTCAGCTCAATTTAAAATAAGTTGATCCAAACTATGTATTTATCTTTGATATATCTATTTATACTGGCAGTCAGACGTCTTAGAGTGTATAGATAAAATCCAAGGATAGGTAATTGCGATGAATAATTACACCACTAGTTGTTTTATTCACATAGATAAGTTCGAAAACCCCTGTGATACTTATAGTATACAAACATATTTGACTGTATTATTTATATTGTGTAGGTAAAGCACTGCCTTTCATTAAATTATACAACAATTTTACTTACCTACTTCAAATAACTATTTACAAATTATATTATAATACATTGTTTCTCTATTAAAAAAAATTATATTTCTAATTACCTAAGAACTTCCTGTGATCGAAATCTTCATATTTGGATATATCAGCAGTCTCGTTGAAAGACCAGTAAGGACTTATTTCTTCCTTGCTTATTTCAGCTGGAACTATCGGTTTTGCATCTGTAAACATTTTATTAAATTTTGTTACACTTATCGAATTCAAACTCCTAAAAAATAATTAAATGTTAGTAAATAATTGGATCTAAAATTGGAAGGAGTTAAGTGAAACATCAGTGCATTTCAATGAAGAGTTCAATGATGTGTTTAAAGTATTGAACATAGTAAGGTATGATGACGGCGGAGTAACTTGTTTTTTTTTATACGTAAGATTGAGTTTAAAAAAAAAAATTCAATAAACAAAATTACAATCGACAATAATTTATCTCTTTAAATCTTAGTATTACGGATAATTACAAATCATATATGATTTATATAACTTTTAAATTATCTAAAAAATATATTATTGATTGATTAATTTATTATTGCCTACCTAGGTACCCAAATATAAATGAACTGATTTGGCATTATATTTTTTCTTAAATGCAAAATATAATGAATAAGGTATTTTGTAACATAGATTTTGGTAAATTAACTGTAATACAAAGTATTTTATGATTAAACTGTTCTTCACAATACAATATATTTTGAATACCTAATTTATTTTATTTTTTATTTTTATATAAATCTATTGTCTCATAATATTAGTTAAAATTTTATTTTTTGTATATTTTTACTAAAAATCATTTGAATGCATTAAAAGAGCTATATAATATATAGATGAGCTTTAAAAAATGTATAGGATTATTGCATTACTTATTTGTTATTATATTACTTAAATGATTATAGTAGTTATTGATAATTTTAGTTTTTATTGCCATATATTGTATTATTTAACTACACAATTTTTGTATAATACAATATTGTAAGTATAAATAAAGAAAAAAGCATGTATTTATTTATATTGATATTTTAGTTATGTGAGAAATTTGTATTATAAATTGTATTTATTTAATTTATATTCACTATTTAATGAATTTATATTTCAAACAGTGAACTCATGGACCCCCGCACTAAAATGTTAAATGGGGCTCAATATTCTGAAAGAAAAAATAAAAATAAAAATAAAATAAAATATATTTAAAATATTATTTAGATGACTATTAGAACTTTATAGAAAATAAATATAAATATATATATATACACACGTATATATTACAATAATTGTTAATAAATTGGAATTTATTTTCTAGCCAATATTTTTATAACAAAATTAAAACATTGTTAAATTAGTTTTCACTTTTCTGCATGACGAGTTAGAAATAAATTTGAAATGTCTCAGAAACTTTCAAACACAAACCTACTTGATATTTTAACATGCAAAGAGTAGGCACTTTTTTTAAATGCAAATAATTGACTCATTTAAGTTCTTCTCATATTCCTTAACTTATTAGAGTATGTCGTAGTAAAACTTTTAGTTTAAAATATAATTAATTAAAAGTTAATTATTAAGTCAGGTATTTCATTAATATCTTGACTAAATGTATACAATCCTAATGATAACTATATTAACGATAAGCATGATATACGTCTACTAAGTGCACACCTAAGCCTCTTTTGAACTTATTCTTTTTTTTTTTTTTTTTGGCAACTTTATGGCAACTGTGGCCATTAGCTATTAGTAGGTACTGTAGGTTTTTGTATTGATGGTTTTGTAGGTTTTTGGAACGGTAGGGGGAACACGTGTGTGTTTGTTTTGGCAGAATTTCGAATGGGGCACCCGTAGGTTTCTGCCATGCCCCGGGGGTGGGGGGATGGCAGCACTTGCTCTCCGGTCACCGCGACTTGTCCGGAGAAAAATGCCACCCGGTGGCCGAGGATCGAACAGCGACCGGCTGCGTCGCAGCGGAAGAGTCAGACCACTCGGTCACCTCGTCCCCCCGAACTTATTCTATTATCAGTATTATTATGCATAGTTTTAGCAATAACTTGACAACAAATCATTTTATACCTAATAGTATGATAGGTACCTAAACCTACTATGGGTTATCATATTTCTACTAAGAATATATTATAGGCTAGTTTACGGAAAAAATATTTGAGATATGGATATCGCTGATGATTAAATAGTCTAAAACTTCGATGGTACACGGGTGGTTTCAGACGAATGAAATAAATGATGACATTCAAGATGCTTAATAACGCTGTTCATTAAGCTCCCCCGCAATAACTTAAATTATGGAATAATATACCTCGTACACTGTAAACTCACTTCGATTAAGGTTGACTCTAATATGTCTTGCGCAATTCCAATTGGACAGATATGCTTGACTAATGTTAAGTATCAAAAAACATACGGCGAGGAGGACAAATTGTTTCAATGTTTTAATCGAAATGATACCCGCGGTGTTAATTCGCGTTATGGTAATTTATCACTAAAGTTCGCCAGAGTTTATTATAAAGTTTGTCGTTGTAACAAGTTTGCAAGAAGGATTTTACGACTAAAAGCATTTATTATTCGCTACAGGAAGTGAAAATGTTTTCCATTTTTTCCGGATGCCATTTTCTTTCTTATGGCAAAACATCAACGTTTTAAGTCGTAGCTATTTAAATGTATGTATAAGCGCACGACAGTAACTTTAAACTAATTTTATCAGTGCAGAATAATATGCACAACAATATAACGTTTTAAGCATTATTTACAACGAATACAAAAAAAAAATCAGGGAATTCGCTCAGCTATAGGTATCTTGAAAACATTAAAATTGAGTAGATCACTGTAATGGACAGGTTTAATTTGGACTTGATGATAAGTCGTCGAGTTCAAAAAACAGAGACTGTCTGTCAGCTATATTTTTTAAAGATTTATAGTATATTTATGCGTTATTAATAATTTATTTTTCTATTCTTCGTACAAAAAGTTGTATTTTTTTTCAAAAGAATGTTAAGAGCTGATATCAATTTATAAGTTAATAAAAAGTATAGTAAAACATATAAAATTTAGGTTCATAGAATAAAAAGCCTGCAATTAATCCAAATAATTTTAAAATCACATTGTGCTTATAGTAAATACAATTTACCTTATAACTTATAAGGTAAAACTATAGTTGAGGAAATGCAGTAAATCCTTATGAGTAGTATTTAAAAAAAAATTATTCTAGTTATTTTTCATTTGAATATCGGATTTCTTCTATATAGATAAATTTACAATTTGAAATAATGTTCGTAAGAAAAACTTAGACAAAAGCAGTTAACTTGTCTATTATCTAAATAAATTGTATTCGTCTTGGACATTTATTGCAAATATCTATTTAATAAGTTATAAAATATAATATAAGTTTTACACCAAAATAAATTTGGAGTTATCACAGTGCAACACTTAAAAGAACCATGTATTCTGTATGCGTAATGTCAAGATTGAAAGTCAAAATCAAAAAATATGTAATTAGCTAAACTTTTTCTAAGTTGTTTTTTTTTAAATCTCAAGTGTTGCTTATTTAATACCTGAATGGGCTGAATGACGACGGTTAATTTTTGGGCTAGAACGATATGTATTTCGCTCAGAAAACTCTACTACAAACCAACTGACCAAACTAGTTAATAAGTTATCAATCTCATCAAATAGTAAGAATGAACTTCTGACATTGAAATATTTAATTTGACTTTGTAAAGGCGAATGATAAAGTTTATCACAGAGGCATACTTAACGAACTACTATAATCAAAATATGTCCTTTTCAATGTGTCAAATTAGTGGGGTCCTTCCTAAATGAACAAGCTTTTTCAACACTAAATCTTCATCACGTAACAACTTAGCTGGAGTTTCATAAAAATTCTTTAAATCTCCTATAATATTTAAAATTTATCTGAATAAAATGTCTTCAACGACCATAAAGAATATACCATTTCGTAGACAATAGGTACCTACTATATTTTTTCACTCCAGTACAAAAAAAATATCACACTACAAATAAAATCCTAGTCGTCCCAGATCAATGTTGGTGACCTTCAGTGACTATAGCCTGGCTGAAGGAGTGAAAGATTTTGGATAACCCGGCTAATGTTTACTTAAAGAAATACATACAACGAAATGAGTTAAAAAAATAAATGGACATGATGTTGAATGGAACAGGTGCGTCAGTTAATACTTCGGAGTAACATAATTTTTCTCCAAACTCACATTTCACAAGCATTTCATAAATATTTACAATGACACAATAGAAAAATCTGAGTGTTGTATACACCGAGCACTTGACTCAAAAAGTTACTGATTTTTGCAATCTGTCATACCAATCAATACTAATATACAAGACAATCAGTCGAAAAACCAGCACGAATGAGGTAAAGTCGTCGATGAATCATGTGACCTGCCACCGATAGTCGTACCATTCAACTGGAATTGAAAGCTATACAAAACTAAAACTGTGTTTTTCATGCGGCTCACACAACTTGCCCACTCCGGTTTACTTATCTAAGTCTTGCTACTTGAAGTCTGGGTGCGCCTTACCAATGAACTCCACGTTTATAAGAGTGCACATATTTTCGTGGTTCATCCTGTCCATTTTATGCTAGAGTACACATAATATTTTGAAATCGCATTTTGTAATACAGCATCGTTCTACCATCAGACCGACGATATTGGATCACTACACGTAGCTTAATCAAGTCTTACCAGCTGAGGTTGACCTTTCTAACCCAACACTTGTATCTAATAGTATAACTTTTACACAGATCAATAAATAGAACGTGATTAAATTGAACTAACAAGTTGTATTAGTAAACTAAGAGGTCCGCCGACATCCGGTTTTGACGATTCAATAATGCACAATACATTATAGATACTTACAGATAAATCGGAATAAGGTCTAGGCTGAACGCCACTTTTGAGCCAGGAGAACTGCGTCCGTCTAAACTAGCGGTCAAACGCGAGGAGCAAAAAACCAAAATTGCTCTATGGCAGGCAAGGAGGGAAGCGACCTCAAAAGCCGCATGGACGCGCCGCGCCATTCCGGATATAGGTAGATGGCTAGGCAGAACTGTACCGTTAGTGCCTCTGACGTTTCACATGACACAGGCATTAACGGGCCACGGATGCTTTCAATGGTACCTGAACCGGATGGCGAG